GGGCTACGCAGATAGGACAGCTTAGTCGGTTAGAAGCGACGAGCCATCCCATGTCTTTCCTTCCTGATGATGCAGCCTTTAGGGCTCACTCATTGCATTGCGCTACCCAGTCACAAAATATTATACGTTCATTTTGAGTGATCTTATTTGAATAAAAAAATACCAAAATTGAAACAGTCCATAGTAGTCACCACGAGAACCGGCAGTGAACAAAGCTTGGTATCTGGCTAGTCACAATATTGCAACGGCTCGCTGACATGGCAGTTGGCCTGCTGTCACAATATTACGCTATTTGCAGGGAGTCGCATCGCAAGGCTCAGCACCGCGCCAAAGTCTCATGCTGATTTAAACCTTGGGCCCGACCTGCTTGAACCAAGGGAATGCAAAAGCTCCATTTCTTGAACTCAGTTTCTAAGAGCTCACTTTAAACGAAAAGCCTCCGCACACCGCCTTCATGCCTTGCTTCACCTAGGTAGCCAAGAAATTTGACGGATGACATCTCGAACTCCAGCTAATCTATCAGGGACCAGTGAGTCGCCAGCGCTTTTTGTGCCCTGCCTCCACCTTCCAGCAGCAACAATAGGTCTGCTATTTCGTTGCTGATGAAAGACCTTTACCCAGCAGGTGGCAGGTTTCTCGACTTCCAGCTGATTCGTTATCGATTCCTATCAGTATCAGATCAATGAGTGGCGACGATGTGCTCACTCAGGTGTTAATGATTGGTCTGATGACTGATAGCGGCGTGCCGAGCCGTCCTCTGCCTGATTGGATCTCCCTGGAAATACGATCCCTGTGAGAAGGAAGGGGGTAGTTGAGATGGGCAGGGAGTGGTCCTAAAGAGAGCGCTTGTGAGAAAATCAGAGGGATTAACAGAAGACGATGTGCTAAGTGAGGTTGGACTTAGTGGGTGGAGATTGCAAAAAGAGTTCTCAGGTCATCTTTTATTCATTTTTATTGATTTTTCTTTCAGAATCGAAGGAATCTCATGTGGATCAATGAAGACCCACAGTATACGGAATTCATACCGGTCGGAGCAAAACCGTACACTCTGTTCAAATCCATCTACACGAATAACACTAACAGGTTAGTTGGGTGGCAAGCCGACGCGTTAGACTCATTAACTCCTAATGGCAACGCATAATTACCAGTAAAGCCATTCATCCCGCATTTCAGACCTCAGGAGTACTCATTTAAAACGGAACGAACGACCGAGTCACTTTGTTCGATTAGTCGAGAGCAGGGCTATTCGATGGGAGCCGAAGCTGAGCTGACCCTGAAGACTCCATGTGAGTTCTCCTTTGGTGAGGCTGACAAACGAGACACACAATCTCATATATCCGTTAACTACTAATCCAATCAGCGCCACGTAATTCCAATTCACGCTATGTTGCTAAGCGTTACAATGTTCGTATCTTATTGGATGTGTGGGACTTTGAGTCGGGAACACAATCCGTCTGGGCAAAGAACTATCCAAAAAATTTACCCCATCGCTCTGGCTTATACTTGGAGCTGTACTGTAGCTTAAAAATGAATTTATCAGTGACCGTTGGAAGAACATTGATAAATGAAGGCATCCTTACAACTTTTTTCATGAGTGTGTAGGAATGTGATTGATGTCCGATAATAGTTCAACAAATTTTGAATTCCCGCGGCGGTTCGTTTTAGAGTAAGTTAACAATAGCTGTAGGAGGTTTAGTGGGGCGGTGGGGTGCGCATGGATTAGCCTAGCGGAAGAAGCATAAACAAGTCAGTCGAAGCGCAAATGTACTCTCTCGTGCGGCCGTCGACTTCCTCCGGAATGGACAGCGGCCTATTGTGAACAGCTCTGCGAACACGTTATCAAACGATACTCTATCGCCGCATGGAATCCATGCTCTAATCGAGCTGCCACGTTGTGGTCTTGCGGCACCAGCTCTTCCAATACGAATTAGACTATCAGCTCACACGATCTCAGCGCGAGCTCGATATCTTTAGTTCCTGCTCAGCACACAGCACTTTATTTCGTGTGAATGCGCTACATTCGCTTTTTCTTGGACCAAGCTAACTGCTTTCGTGTGGAGCGAACTAATATATAGATGAGCACTCTGTCTTCATCGTAATCATCTCCTCTAAACAGAGCATATCTCCTACTACTCTTTGACCAGAGTATCATCGCCCCTGCCCTAAGCCTGATCGAATTCCAGTGAAAAAATTCTAGTTGTGGCCAATTATTCCGACTGTTTATCTATCGGAAGTTTCTGCACCAAGTCCGATTGTTCCACCCCTAAACGGAAAACTTCATAGTGTGGTTTTAAGGTGAGTTCGGCGAACCTACCCCGATGGATAGCACTATGAAGTTTGGGTTTGGATGAGGTCAAACAAATTGGTACACACCTAGAGTGGTGCTATGAGTTGAGCTTCTTCAAGGGAAGTGTATTTCATCTTACTGACCCAATCAACTTTATGACGTATTCTTCTTCTCCTTGAGCTCAGCTGACAACTATCACATACCGTGGGGTCTGGTAGAAGATTTTCGTACCAGATGAACTCACTGAGGCCAAAACGCTTCTGAGTTGTTGGTTACTTAAGTGGGATAGTGTCTGTCAGTCTTTCGGAACAATCTGTACAACTTTTCCTTATTTCACCTTGATGCTGAAAGCACTGTGACAATCCAAGTCTTACTTTGGGTTACGGTATTGAGCGAACGACAAAAAATGAGCTGGCCTACGAATAATGGGGTTCCCGAAATCTGTGAGTGGATCTATGTTTTTTAATTGACAAGGATGCCTCCATATCTGATCTTATGTCAGTTTTTCAATACCTAGTCGAAAATTCGTTGCATTCCTTAAAAAGCCATTCGCTTCACATTCCAAGGCTCTTCTCTGGACGTTAAACGGCCTTGCTTTGAATTTGTGATTCAGGGATTTCATGAATCGGGCAATTAGATGGAAACGGGCTGCGCATTGAAGAAATGGATTGCGGATTAGTTCGGAACGTAGAATGGCTTCAATCAGAGTGCCCTACGGGTTCTTGAAGTGCCAAAATTCCACGTGAGAATGATAAACCCCGGAATGTTCCACAGAGTGTACAGTGGTGGACCTTGAAGTAGCGCGAAACGGGTTCCGATGTGCAGCATTGTTTTGCATGCAAAATGCAATTACTGAGACAAACCTGCTCTTCGGCGTTGTTCTTGAGAAGGGTTCAAAGTTCTGTAGTGATTTCACACTTCTGCGAGATGAATCTTGTTGACAAGTAGTTTACAGCAAAACAACTCAGAAACTCACCAGGCTCACGAGACAGTGTCTACCTCAAGGTCTGACTGGAACGAGGTGATTTCTGGTTTCGTTTTTTGAAGGATCTATCGAAAATGGTTGTCTCCCACTTTGCCGGTGGCTAGACTCCGATCTAACCGTACCTTTTGCTTGCCGCAAATTCCGCCATTGGCTATAAGGAACAAGGTGGTCCTATGTGTCCAGAATTACCGTGATAAACTATGGTCCTGTTCAGTTAAGGTCATGCTTTAGGTGGCGAGTCATTTGTGGAGAGTTTGGTTGTAAAAGCCGTACTTTTGATAGCACCAGTTGTTCATCAACTCTTTCTGTAAACAAAAACATAACATTTTCCGAATCAAGTAATGCTACCATTCGATTCCGTTTATGTGCCCATTTGAAGGTGAACCTGTAAGGGGGGAGAACTTTGTCACGCACTGTGACTGGCAA